TGTGAATAGTGAGTTCAAAACCCTATGTACCTAACATTCTAATGATGGTGGGACGTTGATATGTCAAAAAAATGGTCCCACAATCACAAGTTGCAACGAAACGTGACATGATATTTTTCCATTTCCCTGTGGATACGATATCCCAAATCCATACTACGACACTGCATAACACTTTGGGCGTAACCAGGAGAAGAGAAGAAAATTTGAGAAATAATAAATTGTCATATTAACAATAGTAATAGCACTAGTCTTCAACTTGTATACCACTTTAGTTTGGCGACGCATGTGCTATAATGATTACAGAGAGGAGTTGGAAGTTTTATCAAGATGCATGCACATGATCATTATTTAGCTATTTAGATAAAAAAAAAATTTTAGATTTTTATTAATTTTTTTAAATAATCAATAAAATGTTTGCTAAAATTAATTATAATTTTACATAAATTTTAATTTATTTTTCTAAGTGAAACAAAGGCTTAATATCTTTTATTCTCTTTTAGTAAGGATTTTTGTTATCTTTTATTCTCTTTTAGTAAGGATTTTTGTTGTTGCTGTTATTATTATTATTATTTTTTAATATTTTAGGCGTTACACAATTTCAATAAAATTGACGATTAGGTTGCATGGGTTTTCCATAAAAATAAGAGTTAGCGGGGGTCGTAGTTGACATTTTGATTATTGTTCAACTAAAATTAACTATTTATGTATGTCAAAATGTCGAGTTTCAAATTGAGTGGAAATTCCTTGATTAGTTAGAGAATTGAAATAATATTTAAAATAAATAAGCAAATGTAGAAATGGGATCGTAATTGTGAATATTTTAGGGGTTGTTTGAGCTTCATTTTTCGAAAAAAAATATTTTTTCAAACTTATTTTTAATCAGACATTTTCAAATTAAATAATATTACGTGTAAATTCAAAAAAAATTCTTAATTTTTTAACTATAATCTATATATTTTCCATCAATATACTATTTTAAAATAAATTCATTTCTTAAATTGAAATTCAAACAAGGACTTACACCCTGTTTGATCCACGTTATTCTCCCAAGAATGAATTTTTAATAGTGTTTTAATGGAAAATACGTGGTTAAAAGTAAGAAATTTTTTTTAATTAAAATGTAATATTATTTTATTAAAAAATGTATGTTCGGAAATAAGAGAGATAAAAATGTAATAGAATAGAATTTCGTCACGTCACGTCCCGTCCCGTCCGTCCGGTCTACCATGTTTCATTACCTTTACCAAAATGTGTGAATAGTGAGTTCAAAACCCTATGTACCTAACATTCTAACGAGGGTGGGACGTTGATATGTCAAAAAAATGGTCCCACAACTCCAAGTTGCAACGAAACGTGACATGACAAAATTTCTCCTCGGCCATTCCGAATCACAAATTGGACGTCCATTTCGTGACGATAACGTCTTTGTTAATCCTGCGTCGTACAAACAGACGAATAATTCCAAAGCTATATTGGGACCCACCTCACACATCCACTTGCATATCATGCTACTCGCACTCTCTCTATATATGGGTCGTCCACGTCATTTTCTTCCTTTCTTTTTTCCGATAAAAACGGGCAAGAGAATTTTTTACTTTTGCTTTTTTGTTTTATTTATATTTTTGGCAATTTTACACCTCGAAATCCCAATAAGAAATTTTTTATAATTCTCTCGAAATTCAATGCTTTGTCACTATTTTACAGATATTAGTATTATTATTTGTTTAAATTTTAACGCACAACGTAAATTTAGATCAACGTTAAACATCAATAATATTAAATAGTATTAATTCATGCGAAAAGTACTAAAATTTTCGATTATCCAGAAATCTTACTTTTTTCAAAAAGTAGATAAAGTGGAAATCGTGAGTATTATGTGAGATCTAATTTACCTTTTTATTTAAAGGAGAATTGGAAAGTTAGTTCAACGCATATTTAAATTTTCAAGTGGAATTGTTTTTTCTGATAAAAGTATGACACGTGAACGGTTTGTTTTGTTGATAAGATTCAAGTTAAAGAGATTAAGAACATTTTTTTTATCTTTATATCAGTAATAAATAAATTTAAAATCGATTAGATAAGTCATTGATTTTTGTTAGATATATAATCTTAAAACCTTTTTTCCCAACAAAATTTTACTTTCTCATTTTGATGCCAAGAACCTTCATAAATGATTTCTTCATCTTCTCTTGGTTCATGTTATAGTTCGACAAATGGCGGATTTTTTCTAGATCTTTCATAACCTCTTATTTGTCTCATAGATTTAGCTTGCTTTTTTAAGAAGTAACTTTTACGTTCGTCAAAATCTACATTAAGAGCTTGTTTGTCTCCCATTATTAGGAGAAAATTAGTGTAATGAATAGTATTTTTTTGGAGAATGTGTGGTTGAAAATTAAAGTAACTTTATTGGTTTGTGTGTAAAATATTTTATTGGGTGAATGTGTGGTGGAGAATCTTACTATAGCAAATAATTTTTTTGATTAATGGTAGACAAACAGGGGCTAAAGAATAATATTATTCTTCAATTGTGCTGAATATCGGCATATAATAAATTAAAATATATCATAATTTAATAGAAGAATGTGACACTGACACTTAATAGGATTGCTCTGGTCTAAGTATCTATTTGGTGGGGATTAAAATTAAATTTTAGTAAATTTTAGAAAAGATGATGAAATGTGTAGTTAAAAAATTGTGGATCTCATGAAAGATGTTAAAATTTTTTTTGTTAATTTTGATTTAAATTAAAATTTGAATTTTAACCCATGTTTGTCTCTCATTCTTTTAAAACTCTTTTTTTTTTCTATATATTTATTTTCAACCACGCATTCACATAATAAATATTTTACATTTAAATTTAAAACTTTTTCCTACTTTTTAACCACGCATTCTCCAAAAAATTATTATTCCAAAATTCATTTTTCTCAAAAAAATCATTTTAATGATTGTCAAACAAGTGCTTTTTCCTACTTTTTAATCACACGTTTTTTTTTTTAGAAATCCACTATTCAAAACAATATTTCTCCAAAAAAAAAAAAAAAACCACCATACATGGGCTTAATTCCAACCAAATAGAGGCTAAATATCCAATCTACAAATACTACGATCTTTAAAAAAAAAAGGAAATGCTATTTGTATACTCCAAAGTGTAAATCATATTTGACATTTGCTTTGTTTTTAAAAAAATGATTGGAGAAAAAGTCGTTTATTTTGAAAAACTGTCAAATGACATGTTGCCACATGTCAAATTGACAAAGGGTAATTGACGCAAAACATCCCTACATTTGAAGGTTTTTGTGGAGAACGTTCCTACCTTTCGTTTTTTGACACAGAACGTCCATACCTTTCACATTCTTTGAGCTGAATGTCCTTTTCACCAATTTTAACATAAAATGACCAATATACCCTCATATATAAATAAAACAAAAAACAAAAATAAAGAATAAATTACAATCTGCTCCTAAACTTTTTTAAAAATGCAAATCAATCCAAAATTTATGAAAATATTAAAAATAACAAAAACATACACTCTCTTCTCTTCCACCACCCTCCACCACCTCCACCGTCTGATGACCACACCTACTTTTCTCCACCGGCACAACCTCCGGACATTGGTACCAACACAATCTCCTCAACACCCTCTACAATTCCATCCTAAGAATTCCCCATATCATTAATAATCCGGCAGAAATCAGCTACTCGAAATATGGACAAATTGCTGGAAGTCGTACCTCCGACCAGCAGCAGGATCGCGGACCACCACCATCCGGTTGCCCACACCCAGATGACCTCAGCCATGTGGGCAATTCATCCAAAACACTTATCCAATAGGTTCAATTTGAAACTGAAAATAACGCAGTCGTGACTATCACACCGTGCATTAAACTTGGCTCATTCCGGCATCGTTCCTTTGACCCATGGTCGCGGACCACTCCATTCAGCACCCTCTCATCATGGCGAAACTATTCCACCCATGGGTCCTCCACAATTTTGCCTGGATTCATTAGAATTTCAGGTCGAAATCCAACCACTACAATTGATGAAATTGGGAGTAGTTGGGTGGTAATTGAAGGGAGAATTGGAGGGCTGTTGATCGGTGTCAACGTCCGACGGCTTGGATGGCCGGAGGCTGCCGAAATTTGGACGCATTTGGGCTGAAAAAATGACAAAAAATCCTCATTTTTTTGGACTGATTTCAATTTTTAGAAAAGCTTAGGAGCATATTACAATTTATTATTTATTTTTCTTTTCTTTTCTGTTTTGTTTTATTTATATATGAGGGTATAATTGTCATTTTATATTAAAAATTTGTAAAAATGACGTTCAGCGCAAAGAATGTGAAACGTAGTGACGTTCTGTGCCAAAAAACGAAAGGTATGAACGTTTTCCACAAAAACCTTCAAAGGTTGAAACGTTTTGCGCCAATTACCCAGTGGACAAACTTAGTGTACAATTGGTGTACAGAGTATGATTGAAAAAAAATAAAAAATCTAGGCTACTATTTGGACCAAGGTGAGCAAATTTGCACCATGTTTGATACTCATTCTTTTAAAAATGTATTTTTCTATATTTCGATTACACATTTTTCAATAAAATAATATTAATCAAATTTAAAATTTTTTCTTATTTTTTAACTACACATTTTTAATCAAATCACAGTTTAATTCTTGAAAGAATAACGCGCATCAAACAGGCTGTTGATTTGAAATAGCCACATGCCATGCATATAAATGCACCAAGTCAGAGACTCAGAGGCAAGACACTTCCATTTCTTTCTCCGAATTCTAACCACTAGCATCCTGCCACGTATCATCTCCCTATTCTACCATCATACAGGGTTCCCATTTCCAAGATTTAAAGCTCTTCTGTGCAGAATTTTACTGAAAGAGAGAAATTGCCCTTCTTGTTCATATATTTGCATGACTATTTGGTGAAAATACTAGTAGGAAGAATCATAGATTTTGATTTTTTTTTTTTTGGATATTTCGGAGCTGACAACAATGGATAGGTACGAGAGTTTGAAAGACTTGGGATCAGGGAATTTTGGTGTGGCTAAGCTTGTGAAAGATAAATGGACTGGTGAGCTCTTTGCTGTCAAGTACATCGAAAGGGGCAAGAAGGTAACAATTTAATTGTATCACATCGCTCTTGAAAGGCCAGCCTCGTGGGTTTATAAATACTTTGGATTCCCAGTTTTAAGGGTTATCCATTTTTTTATTTTTTTTGTATACTTATTTGGGTTTTTAATCTTCTCGGGGTTTTTGTTTTGGTGTTATATATGCAGATTGATGAGCATGTTCAAAGGGAGATTTTGAACCACAGAGCCTTAAAACATCCCAACATTATTAGATTCAAGGAGGTAAAGAGTTAAATTTTTACTCCGTTTCCTTGATCGATCACGAGAATATGTTTGGTACACGGTATTGAACAAGAAATGTTAATTTGTTTTTCTTTCTTAATTCTGTCGAGTATGGTCTCCAACATTACAAACATGGCTTAAAACTGTTGATCATACAAGAAGATTCATTGCTTTATTGGGATGATTCATTGAATCAGATGCCCCTTTGCAATTTGTGTGAGGGATTCACTTTTTGGGTCAAGTAAAAGAAGAAATGAGGCTTTAGAATGTTGAACCAAAAATGTAGAATTATGATTTTGAAGTATTTTTCCTATTTTGTACGCAGTATTGGATGAGACTAGACAATACAATGAACAAGACTTTAGCTTTTTCGTTTATTGTTTTTATACTTTTACAGTCCACCTTATGGTCCTTACAAAACAAGCTATCGTTGTTGATAGAATAGCTTTCTTATTGATTCCCGGAATGATTTCGGTTGGTCAGGAAAGCTACACGATTGCTAGTTTATGTCATCACATTGCACAAAGGAGTTGATCTTTTAGTCGAGCATTGATTGATCAGTGTTAGTGCAGGCCTTGTTAACACCAACTCATCTAGCCATAGTGATGGAGTATGCAGCCGGAGGAGAGCTTTTCGAACGAATATGCAATGCTGGTAGATTCAGCGAAGATGAGGTACATCTTTTCTTAAGAAATCTCTACCGAAGTAAGATGTAATTTCAGTTTATTTTAAGTGTTCGACTGCAGTTTTTCCCACAAGTTTTCAATTGTTTCAGGCAAGGTTTTTCTTCCAACAGCTAATATCAGGAGTTAGTTACTGCCATTCCATGGTAACTTGTTGTAATTTTACTCATTTAAAGCCTATTATGAATGTTGAATGTTTAGTAAGGTAGACTAGACGACATTCGACATAATTATGAAAGAAAGAGGAGCTAAAGTTTTATTCATTCTATTGTCTAATACTGCATAACAACACGTCTTTCAGCCTATAACATTCAGTTTTTAATGCAGCAAATTTGCCACCGTGACCTAAAGCTCGAAAACACATTGTTAGACGGGAGCTCAGCACCTCGACTCAAAATTTGTGACTTTGGCTACTCTAAGGCATAAACCTATGACTCTTCAATGCAAAGCCTAATCTACACAAATTAATCTTAGTAAATAACCGTGTGTTTAATTTTGCAGTCCTCCGTGTTGCATTCTCAACCAAAATCAACTGTAGGCACACCGGCCTATATTGCACCAGAAGTCTTATCAAGAAAAGAGTACGACGGAAAGGTAATTGATATTTATTATCTGATTTCTTTGGAGTTTTGCTGCTCAAGTCTTAGCCAACTGAAATAAAATTATTGAGTCGTTATCTTTTGTTTTAAATTAAAGATTGCAGATGTTTGGTCGTGTGGGGTTACATTATATGTGATGTTAGTTGGTGCTTATCCTTTCGAAGATCCTGATGATCCAAGAAATTTCAGGAAAACAATTAATGTGAGTCATTACACAAATTTATAAATATTTGTTGACTTTTTTTTTCTTTGTTTTTGTTCAATAATTCAAGATTGTTGATTATTGACAGAGAATACTTAGTGTACATTATTCAATCCCTGACTACGTCAGAGTCTCCAAGGAATGCAAACATCTATTATCTCAAATTTTCGTCGCTGGCCCTGAAAAGGTTGAAGTTTGAAATTTTATAGATTATTTAATTCTCAAAATGTTAGCAATGTAGAATACTCAAAAATGATTATTTTTCGCGCAGAGAATAAGTATTCCAGAAATTAAAAAGCACCCATGGTTCTTAAAGAACTTGCCGGTCGAGTTTATGGAAGGAGAAGAAGCTATACAAATGAAAAATACAAATGATTATCCTGCTCAAACAGTTGAAGAAGCATTGGCTATAATTCAAGAGGCTAGAAAACCAGCAGAGGGGCCTAAAGCTGGGGGAGGCATTTTTGTTGCTGGAAGTATGGATCTTGATGATATAGATACTGATGCAGATATAGAAGAAGATATAGAGACAAGTGGGGATTTTGTTTGTGCATTATGAGCTGATGTTGTTTGAATAAAGAGCACATTTGGTCTCGCTTAAAAGTATCTTTTTAAGTATTTATTTGGATTGTATGCGCCAAAAGAGCCGGAAGAGCATTCTCTTAAGTGGGGGCAAACATGCTAGCCGTTGATTTCCGATGATATTTCGTGCCGAAGTTATAAAAATTGTGTTCGAGGGCCGTTTGACGATTGTGTTAGGTGTAATTTTCTTTAGCCCTCTTCTTTATGCTTATAAGCAATACCTACTGTGCTGATTGGATGAAAATGATTGTATTATACTTATATAAAGTATATTATAAAGTCTTTATCTGTTCATTTTAATAAGAAGATTTGGATATGACGTGTTAAACTAAGTAAATGTGCAGATGCTATATGCTCAGTGGATGGCTTAATAAACAACCTTAAACGGGCAATCCAATAACTAATCCCTTGAATGGTGACTGGTAAATCTAGTATTCTACAAATATATAATTGTTTAAATTCCCCCATTTGAGTGGAAGTTTAGCTTGGTAATGACGTCAATTGAATAGGCCAAGCAGTTGCACAGAGGCTAAGAAGCATGGATACGAACATGACAAAAATATAGGAAATGATAAATGTCACGTTGAACAGTTGTACGAAACGTGTAATTAAATTATCATTCGAACATTAAAAATTTTATAATATAAAAATAACAGGATATAGTATATTGATTATTGACCTATCATGAATTGTTCAAGGAGTGTCGGTGTCTTAACACTATCTAAGGTTGTCCGTCTTGGTACTCACTTGCAAACCCTATAATGAAATTGACACTGCTCAACCTAGGTAACCAATCGGGTGATTTTCAAAATGCATATCGATGTGATCTATAGCATCGGCTAGTAAATCAAATCGTGCCTAATTAATCATGTGTTACACGTCTACATTCAAGGATGAATCTTTGGGGATATGATCATACGAATTGTTGACCCCAAAAAATGAATCAACAGATGCCGAGCCCACTCACGCCAAGTCAAGTACGATTCCGACGCGTTCCTACCGGAATGATGACGTAGCATGAAGAAGATGGACGCGGGAGGTTCTTTGCAGTGAGAGACAGAATTGTTCAAGTTCCGGCGGGTGGAATGAAAGCAATCACGCTAACAAAGATCACCTGGTAGAAAGTAAACTAATATTTGTAATAACAAACAAGAAAATGTGGAAAGATGGATGAAATGTTCATATATTTTCTTCAAGAGTTCAAGTGTATATTTTGAATATATGATTGTCTATTTTTTCCATCAATGATCCAACCTCTTCCATTTTTTAATTACAAAGAGGACCTATTTATACTGCATTGGTTGACGTGGTGACCGTTGGATTGGAACCACGTGACCTCATCTCCCTAATTAAGGCTTCACATCACTGTCTATTTATACAATTAATACATTGATAAAGGGTCAGTCGCCCTATACAATAGGCTAGCACACTGAGAAGCTTTATTACAAGTATTACATCAATCACTTCTAATATATCTTCAAATCTATTACAAGAGATATCGTTGGTTTCATGAGCTTTGGACGAGTTTGAGAGCCTCGGAAAGATCTTTTGAGGTGGTTCTCTAAGTGGAGAGCTTCAACTCCTTTCTTTACTTCTTTAGGCAGTGCGTCAGCAAGCACTTGGGCTAGTAGAGCAAGATTTTGGCTTTGAGGTCCGCTTCAGCAAGCACTTCGGTTTGTAGAGCAAGGACTTCGATTTTTGACCTCATGGGTCTTTGTTTGACTTTTTTGTTGACTTTCTGCCTACATGTCTTGTCACGAGACACTTTTTCTTTAAGCCTTAGAGGTGAGGCATAACAATAGATCCCCAAGTCTAGGCATGATTATTTATGTAATGCATGGACTTGAATAAAAATTTTTTAGGGGGTGTATTTCATTTAAAATGTACCTGACTTATGTAGACTTTATGTAATGTTGTCCGAGGTGGTTTACTTGGTAATACTTCAGCTCCTGGAACAATTTTGGGAAGTAGTGTACTTGAGGTGGAGTAATTTCGAAGTTGTAACATCTGAAATTGTATATATCCGAAGTGCTAGCTGAACTTTGTAAGTTTCTGGACTTAGGTACATTGAAGTGTATGAGCTGAGGCTCTTTAGTACTTTAGGCAGTTCGCTTTGCCTTCCACTTTCCTTTATGGGTCGAGTGGTTCGCTCATGCTAAGGCTTCGTTAACAACTTTAGTTGTTAAAGGCACGTGCCACATTTCGTGGAGTGCAGATGTGGTCCTCTTTGGGACCCAGATCCTCGTCGAAGTGTCTGCGCGTCTCTTCATAAGGACGGATAATTTATGAAGAGGCTTCTCCTATAAGTCTTTCTAATGAGGAGGTTCTTTTATTTTAATAAGCTTGCGTCTCTTCATATGAACGGATTATCTATGAAGAGGCTTCTCCTATGAGTCTTTTTCATTATGAGGCTCTTATATTTTTAACTTGACATAATAACTTTTCTAAGCATGAGGTTAAGCGGTTCGCCAATACGGAGGCATCCTTAACAGCTTTATTGTTAAGGGCATGTGCTACACTTCACGAGTGCAGATGTGGTCCTCTTTGGGATCCAGCTCCTCGTCGAAGTGCCAACATGTCTCTGCATAGGGACGAATCATCTATGAAGAGGTTTTCCCTATGAGTCTTTCTCACTAGGAGGTTCTTTTATTTTGATGAGCTTGTGCAAATTTAATTTCTCAGATTGTGAACTTTGTTTCCCGGATGAGGACTCCAAGTCCTTTTTCATGGAATGAGGACTCCAAGATAATGCATTTTCTTCCTTTATTCAAGGATGAGTCCCTTACATGCTGAAGTATAGGCAAGGATGAGCACCTTGCATGCTAAATTGTTGAAGAATAGGCAAGGATGAGGCCCTCATGCTAAAATGTTGAAGCATAAGCAAGGATGAGGCCCTGGCATGCTGAAGTGCTGAAGCATAGGCAAGGATGAGGCTCTTGCATGCTGAAGTACTGAAGCATAAGCAAGGATGAGGCCCTCTTGCTGAAGCATAGGTAAGGACGATGACATTGCATGCTGAATTGCTGAAGCATAGGCAAGGATGATGAGGCCCTCTTACTGAAGCATAGGTAAGGATGAGGCCCTCATGCTGAGGTACTGAAGCACAGGCAAGGATGAGGCCCTTATGCTGAAGTGCTGAAACATATGCCAGGATGAGGCTTTTGCATGCTGAATTGCTGAAGTATAAGCAATGATGAGGCCCTCATGTTGAAGTGCTCAAGCATAGGTAAGGATGATACCCTTGCATGCTGAATTCCTGAAGCATAGGCAAGGATGAGGCCCTCTTGCTGAAGCATGGGTAAGGATGAAGCCCTCTTGCTGAAGCATAGGTAAGGATGAGGCCCTCATGCTGAAGTATAGGCAAGGATGAAGCTCTCATGCCGAAGTGCTGAAACATAGGCAAGGATAAGGCCCTTCCATGCTAAAGTGTTGACACATAGGCAAGGATGAGGCCCTCATGCTAAAGTACTGAAGCATAGGCAATGATGAGGCCCTTTTGCTAAAGTATAGGCAATGATTATGCCCCATCGCTGAAGTATAGGCAAGGATGAGGCCCTTGCTTTTAAAGTAGGTGAAATATTTGCGTAGAGGCGAAGTCGCATGGTTCAGGAATGAGGCCTCTTATTTCATCACATGTGACCACTTCTTTGTAGGTGTCCCTTTCAAGGGGCCTTCCTATTCAAACCCACTTCAATGGTCTCTCCTTTTCAAGGGTCATCCTATTTAAAGTCATATCTTCAATGGCCTCCTCCTTTTAGGGGATCATCCGCTTTTTCAGCGGCCTTCCCTTTTAAGGGGGTCATCTTATTAAAGTCGTTTCTTTAGGGACCTTCCATTTTAAGGGGGTCATTCTATTTAAAGCCACTTCTTCAGTGGCCTCCCCCTTTTAAGGGATCATCCGGTTCTTCAACAGCCTCCATTTTTCAAGGGGTCATCCTATTTAAAGTCGTTTCTTTAGGGGCCTTCCCTTTTCAGGTGGTCATCATATTTAAAGTCACTTCTTCATTGGCCTCCCATGGGGATCATCCGCTTTTTCAGCGGCCGCCCCTTTTCAGGGGGTCATCTCATTTAAAGCTACTTCTTCAGTGGCCTCTCCTTTCAGGGGGGTCATCCGCTTTTTCAGTGGCCTCCCCTTTTTCAGGGGGTTATCCTTTTGAAAGTTACTTCTTCTCAATTTACTTCCAACTGACTTCTTCCTGTGGGACTCTCGTGGTTAAATGTATGGATTCCCACAAACGACGTCAATCTATTGATCCCAAAAAATGAATTAACAGATGTTGGGCCCACTCACGCCAAGTCAAGTACGATTCCAGTGTGTTCCTACCGTAATGATGACCGTAGTACGAAGAAGATGGACGCGGGAGATACTTTGCGGTGAGAGACAAAATTGTTCAAGCTCCGGTGGGTGGAACGAAAGTAACCGTGCTTACAATGATCACCCGATCGAAAGTAAACTAATCTATGTAATAACAAACAAGAATATGTAGAAGGATAGGTGAAATGTTCATATATTTTCTTCAAGAATTCGAGTGTATATTTTGAATATATGATTGTCCATTTTTCCATCAATGATCCAACCTCTTCCCTTTTTTAATTACAAAGAGGACCTATTTATACTGCATTGGCCGACGTGGTGACCATTGGATAGAAACCACGTGGCTTCATCTCCCTAACTAAGGCTTCACATCACTGTCTATTCATACAATTAATACATTGATAAAGTGTCAGCCGTCCCTATACAATAGGCTGACATATTTATAAACTTTATTATAAGTATTACATCAATCACTTCTAATAGATTTTCAAATCTATTACAATCATCTCATTTAAAGCTACTTCTTCAATGGCCTCTCCTTTCAGGGGGGTCATCCGTTTTTTCAGTGGCCTCCCCTTTTCAGGGGGTTATCCTTTTGAAAGTCACTTCTCAATTTACTTCCAACTGACTTTTTCCTATGGGACTCTCGTGGTTAAATGTAT